TTCCCCCCCCCCTCCCCCCAGTTATTTGGGGGAAAACCCAAAAAAAAAAAAAAAAAAAAAAAAAAAAAAGTTTACTCAATTCCACTAACCTATACCCTCATAAAGCTGCTGAAGGTTTACATATTACACACAGACGTTCACAAAGTAAATAACTGCTTAAAAATCAGATAGTGCGCAATTCAGTTCAAACATTTAGCAAACTTCTTTAGTAAAGGAGAAGACTACAAATACAATCAAATTATTCTTCCTAGGGAAAAAAAAGAAACACAGAAAAGGACCAGATCTCATTCCTATATTATTATTTATGTACTGGTTTTTGGCAGCTCAGAAAGCATTCCTCTATTGGGCCTCTCTCTCCTGAAAGCTGAACTTTCTGTCTTTATATCTGTGTATTTAGGAAATAAGTTTTATATCTTAACATTTTGCATTAAGCATGTTTATAACTAATTTCAAGAGTACTGCATCACACTGACCTTTCATGTACCTAGAGGTTTTTCCTTGTAGTGTTACTTGCTGTCTTTTGCTGTTTTCCGGTAGCGGAAGGTATACTTCACTTACTTTCTTTATGCTAAAGCTAATATAGTTATTAACTTTTGAGATTTGTTTGCTCTTAAATCCAGTTGACTATCATTTATGGGTAATTCTGTATTGAACCCACAAAGCTTAAGTGCACATTGCTCCCTGAAAACTAGAATGTGGCAAAAACCACTGGGATTTTTTGTTGCTTGCTTTTTATTTCAAAATCCTTAGAAAACCTTAATTTCCTCTGATTTCAATAAACACTGTGAGATTGATTTGTATTTATACAAGATATTTTTACCTCTTGAAGTAAAAAGAATGGTTTTTAATCACATATGTTGACAGGGCTTGAATAGTCAAACATACATACCCACAGCTCTGGCTGAATAAGCCTCCATTGCATTCAATTTATTGAAAGCATTGTTTCAAAAGCATGAGGAATTACACATAAGAAATTTCAAATGACTGATAAAAAGTTAGCATAATATCACTCTCTGATGGTTTGTTTTTAAATAGTCTGTGTTATTCTTGGAGCTTGTCAAAAAGCTCACATCCTGCTGTGCTCATTATCAAAAAATATTTATATATAAATAAAATCAAGTAAAAGAGCTCCTATTATAAGTGCGCAACCTCTTTAACTTCTTGAGAGAATGAGCCTACTTTTTTGCAGTGCCCAAGTGTTTTGCATTTAGACATCTGTGTACTGTATCTCTCTCACACTCTCAGAAAAAAGAATCAACAAAATCTTGACTTATGTTTGAGAGAATTTCCTTTTTCTCTACCTAAGGACAGTCATTCTTCTAAAACTAAAGAAAAAGTTACAAAGTACTCACCAACGAATTCCAGTGCCTGAGGAAGAGTTAAAAACAGTGTTGTGCTTGATTCTCTTCTTTCATTCTTGTTGGAGCTTGTACTTGGGGTTGGAGGGTGGAGTTATAAGGAGAGAAATGCAATCTGATCCTGCTGTAGGAGCCTGCTGATAGTCGAGCCAGAGGTTGCTCCTGTTTACTAGAGAGGGGGGTTACTTTGAGTAGGCTTCAAAGAAATGAGAAACAAAGAGGGAGTTTTCTATTTACAGTATCACAATTCTGCTTTCATTTAGAGTAACTTAAAAAAAGTATCTCTAACCAGGAAAGAGATGTATTTCCAAATAGAGGAAACAGGCTAAAAAGGCAATCTGAATCCTAAGTCATTTTAATTACATTTTCACCTAGTTTGGTTGCTTAACCGCTTGTGTCTTCGAGATCTGTTGAAACTTACCATTTATTCATTTTGTACTGTATTTCCCTTATATAAACATAAGTCAATACAAGAGGGGAATGACATATCCAATATATGACCTGGAACTAAATTCAGCAGGTTCGCTTTTGCTGCATGATAGAGATGTAAACGTCCCTATCCTGGTGTGCCTGAGACTAGTTCATCCCCAAGATGTACAGATTTGAAGGCTGGGACACAACTAGTGATTGTGCTAATATTACACATCCCCACATAATATGTGCTGATTGGTACTCCTATGGAGAGTCTGGTTAGACATCAAAATAAAGTTGACAGATTGGAAGATATACAACTGCCCTGCCCAGCAGGTAAAACCACAAAGACACTCAGCTTTGCTTATGCAGGCAGGGGCAGTTAGGTAAGCCTAGTTTTATAACTTCAGAGGAAGTAATTCCAGAGTAGGGCACTATATAGTAAGGACAATATTCCCCATAGTGATTACTGATTTTTGAGTGCCCCATACTGAAAAGTTGCCCAGTTATCAGAAAGGCTAGGGACAGATATTCAAAAAGCCTGAGCCTGAACTGATTCAGTCTTTGCAGGTTAGTGTAACCTGGCTAGATTAAATCAGTTTTGTAACCAGATAGACATCACAGAAATGGAGGCACATGCCTGTAGTGGATCAGGCTAGGAGCCAGATGGGTGCTAAAGCAGCTCTCCCTTCCTTCCGCAACATGGAGTTGCGGGGCGTGTGGCCAGGCTCTGGTAGGATGCTGTGATTAGCCCAGCAGGGAGTTGATAACAGTGTTTATCACCCAATTAAGAAAACAAAAGAGGGACATTACCAGTTATTTCTTGATTCTGCCTGTTGATTCTACCTGTTATTTCAGCAGGGTCAGTAGCCAGCATGTGGTCTGTTAGCTAATACACAGACATGTGTAGGCAGAGGGAGAAAGGGGGGAATTCCTGCTTAGCAGGGAGTGGTGAGAGGTAGGGAGGGGAGCTGCAGCCAGGGAGCAGAGGGGAGGAGCCAGCCCTTCTGTGGAGCCTAGAGCCCTGCCCAGCCCAGAGAAAATGCTGGGATGCAGGGGGTTTCTGGTTTATCTTAAACCAGCAAGGGGTCTGGGACAGCCATTGCATAAACTGGTTTGAGTCAAATCACTTAAGTCTGATACTACGTTCAGCCAGGTTTATCTCAAACCGTTTTCAGCCATTCTCAAACTGGTTTATGTGCACTGAACATCTGTTCAGTTAAAGGTTTAAAACAGTTTCTGATCACTTAAACTGGTTTTTGTGTAATATCCGTCCCTAACAAAGTGCTGAGCAAATGACTGAAACTCAGACTTCTTTAAGGGTCTTGATTTGGCCATTCAAAGAATGAGGTACCCAAAATCTTTAGTCATCTTTTTTGTTTAAATTTTGACTTCTACATCTGGTATTTAGGTAAAAGGTATTAGACAAAATAACCCAAAACACAGGCCATGTTCCCTGATTCTCTCAATACTCACTGCAGGATAAGAATATTGGCAAGATGGGAGTCCAGGAAGGGTGGTCATTTCTAAAGGAAGTGATCCTTCAGGCATAGAGGGAGATTACCTCAGTATGAGGGAAAAGGAGGAAAGGAGCCAAAAAACTTCCTTGGCTAAACAGGGAAATCCAAAGGGCGAAAAAGAAAGCAAAAAAAGCAGTGGAAGCAGGTGGAAGCTACCAAGGAGGAGTATACGTACTTGGCACACACTTGCAGGGAGGCAGTTAGAAAAGCCAAAACAACTACAGAGCTGAGGCTGGCAACACAAAATAAAGACAACAAAAAGTCTTGTTCTAGGTATGTAGGGAGTAAAAGGAAGGTGCAGGGCAGCATAGGACCCCTACTGAACAAGAAGAAGCAATTACTGACAGACTGGGGGGGACAAGACTGAGCTATTCAATGAGTTTTTTTGCCGCAGTGTTCCTGAACAGGGGTCAAGATAAGTCTACTAATGGGTTCTTAGATGGGCATCAGAGGGACATCAGCCCACCAATTGTCGATGCTGACTTGGTGCAGAGTCTGCTGGATAGACTGGATGTGTTTAAGTCAGCAGGCCTGGACAAGCTGCATTCGAAAGTAGTGAAGGATTTGGCTGGTGTCATAGCAGAACCACTGGCACGGCTGTTTGAGTGCTCACAGCGCTTGGGTCTGGTCTTGGAGGAGTGGAAAAGGGCCAATGTGGTCCCTATTTTCAAGAAGGGGATGAAGGAGGGTCCAAATAATTATAGGCCAGTCAGTCTCACCTTCATCCTTGGAAAGGTCTATGAAAAGATTATGAAGGATCATATTTATGGGATTCCAGTGGGAAAAATAATGCAGTAGGGAAACCAGAATGGATTCATAGCAGGTAGATCATGCCAGACCAATCTGGTTTCATTTTATGATGGGGTCACAAAATGCTTAGACACATTGTGGTTTTTTTGGATTTTAGCAAGGCCTTTGATACAGTATCTCATACCATTCTCATAAATAAATTAAGAGGCTGTGACATAGATGTTTACATGGTCCCGTGGGTGGAAAACTGGCTTAGCGGTCACACCCAGAGAGTGGTAATAGATAGGTCGGTATTGACCTGAAAGGATGTGGGTAGTGGCAATCCGCAGGGTTTGGTTCTTGGACCTGTACTCTTCAATATCTTCATCAGTGACTTGGATGTGGGTGTGAAGTGTATTCTGTCCAAGTTTTCAGACGATACTAAATTGTGGGGTGAAGTGCACACTCTGGAGGGTAGGGAATGATTGCAGGCAGACATGGACAGGTTAGAAAAGTGGGCAGTACACAATAGGATGCAGTAAAACAAGGACAAGTGCAGAGTGCTGCACCTAGGGCACAAAAATATCGAGTACACCTACTGACTGGGAAGTGACCCTCTCAGCAGCACAGAAGTGAAAAGGGATCTCTGAGTCATAGTGGACTCAAAGATGAGCATGAGTCGTCAGTGTGACAAAATCATCAGCAAAGCTATCTGCACCTTATCATGCATTAGCAGATGCATGACAAATAGAACCAGGGAAGTGATACTTCCCCTTTATGTAGCATTGGTCAGACCACAGTTGGAGTACTGTGTCCAGTTTTGGGTGCAGTACTTCAAGGAGGATGTTGATAGATTCAAAAGGGGCCAAAGGAGGGCCACTCGTATGGTTAGGGGCTTACAGGACAAGCCCTAAGAGGAGAGACTGAGGGACCTGGACCTCTTCAGCCTCTGGAAGAGAAGGCTGAGAGGTGATCTTGTGGCCATCTAGAAATTCATTAGGGGGACACAGCAAGTCTCTGTTCACCAGGGTGCCAAGGAACAATGGTCACAAACTGACAGAGAGCAGATTTAGGCTAGATATCAGGAAAAACTTCTTCATGGTAAGGGTGGCCAAAATTTGGAATGGGCTTCCAAGGGAGGTGGTGCTTCCCCTACCTTGGGGGTCTTTAAGAGAAGGCTGGATAGGCATCTGGCTGGGATCATCTGACCCCAGCACTCTTTCCTGCCTAGGCGGGGGGTCAGATTTGATGATCTGTTGAGGACCCTTCCAACCCTAGCATCTATGAATCTATGATTATTTTCTTACACTAAGAGCTACAGCTGGCTTTGCAGCAAACTATGATAGTTTTCAATGATTTACATTCCAAATCAGAATAAAAACAAATATAAAAATATTTTTCAATGTTCAGTGTTAGAATTAAATTTTACAGGATTCTAATTTTTATACTACTTTTAATTTACAAAGTGATAGTAAGGTATACAGTAGGTATAAGTATCCTACATATTATATATTGCTAGTGCTGATGTATCATGAAGTGTTGTAAAGTAATAAACCTACTGCAAAAATTATTAAAAATATATAGATTTAGACAGTGATTTTTTTTAAATATGATGTATTGGCAGTTGTAGGGCATAAATTGTAGTTTGATCATACATACAGAACAACTGACAATTCATAAAATAATATAAAAATAAGAAATAAAGTATTTGTTGTTATTTTATTTTTTTAAATATTAAGGACTGATGCTATATGTAACATTACTAATAATAACATACTAGTGAACCCATGCTTCACTGCGGAAGATCAGTTTGATTTTTTATTTTTTTTATAACCTTTTGTCATAATCATCATCTTGACTTTATGGTTTATGATCCAGACAAGAGGAATCCCTGACCCCCTGCAGATTCAAGTTAACTCATAGTTCTGCAGCATTGCATCTTCCCTGCAAACCTCCCTTTGCAGGTTGGGGGGTTAGCCTTAGCCCAGGCTCTTCACTCCAACTGAGCAGGGAGATGTGCTGTAGCACTCACCAGCCTCTGGCCTGGGCCACTGGAGGAATGTGGCTGCGTTTCCAAAATCAAAAGTGAATGTCTGTTCACTTGCTTATTGGTTCAATCTATATAGCTTAGACCCACCTGCAAAGATTGAATCGATTCAGCCTTAGGCTTTTTGATTACCTGTACTTAACTTATACATGATTTGAAACCAGTTCAGATCTGTAACACAACAGAAGTTCAGTGCACATAAATTGCTTTCAAAATGGCTGAAACCCATTCAAGATAAACCTGAATGGATGTAGTACCAGACTTAACTGATTTCAGTTAAATTGATTTATTGAAATTCTGGTACAGATTCCCTCCATATTCAAGTAACTCACAGTCCCCCAGCATCCCAGAATACTTTGCACTTCCCACAGACTCCCTCCCCACATGCAGGCTGGACAGGCTAGCCTTGGCCCAAGCTATCTTCTCCCACCAAGCAG